ATAAATGATGAGCTTAAGCGTCATTTATTTATTATCGCCTGATACTCTTCATCTTCCGAATAAGTAAGGCGTAGCACTTGCTGATAAATACCAATTGGTTTGTATCTAACTGAAGACAGATTCATAAGTTAATTCATCGATTCTACTCGAGACTATACATACCCAATGTGCACATTGACTAGCACAGCACTATCTGAATGAGAGAGTGTGTGTATTTTGAATGAACATACCCAGTGTTCTATGATGTTTGACAAGTTCCCTAAATTATCGATTTCTTGAGAAAAATAATAATGCATCGTAAACGTACGATGAGCTGAGATGTAATTTTGCGATGACTTCTAACTAAAAAAAGTCACAAAGGATTTCTGGTGAAATCATCAATAAGGTGATGTAAATAGTCTATCTTCAGTCAAATGTAGGCCACTTATCTGATAAGTGGTAAGTGATGATGATGACCATGGAACGATAAATAGCCAATGGATCAACTAACCATTGTTCGCTGCAAAATCAAAAGTTTTTTGATTATAAAAACATGGACTATCATCATGGTAAGTGTGACACTGCTATTGAATACCTACACGTATCCTCCGAGCAGACATCAAGATTCAGCTAACTTTTTGAGAAAAGATTTCTTCACAATGAAACTCTATAATCACTTCAGTAAGGTTTTATAACGTTGTAAAAAGTTTACTGTCATGATGATTACTAGTTTAATCACATCAAACAGAAACAAATAAAATTGAGATAGCTCATGTTAAGGTCTGCTAACAAGGAAGAAAAGTTGTTGTTCTGACATAAGTCTCAGTATTTGAAAGAATAAACATATGTTTGCTCTTATTTTCTTAATAATAAAATATCTCTGCTGTAATTTTTAAGGATCTTTCGTAACTTAATACATTATTATGTACGGCTACTTTAACTGAGCAAATAAATACATGACATAAAAAACTTTTCTCTTATCGTTCTGATGATTTTCGATGCAAGTCATGCACGCGACGAAAGAAATAATAATAAAAAAACAAAGTATTTATTGAAGAAATGTAAGAATGCATATGACGATAGACAAAATATAATGATGGCAACAATACCAACTTTACAAGAAAATAATCTTGAAAGTATATATTTGATTTGGCTTGATGCAGTAGTCGATCAATCACAAGAAAATATTGATGCTCAACAACAAATTCGATCAATTATAAATCATCTTAAAACATTTCAAAATATTCAAGATTGTGAAAAATATATAAATCAAATTTCCAAAGATGATCGAATTCTTCTTATTGTTAGTGGTCAATTAGGACAAGAAATAGTACCACGAATTCATCATAATCGACAAATTTTTTCAATTTATGTTTATTGTATGAATAAAGCAAAAAATGAAGAATGGGCAAAACATTTTCCGAAGGTAATCATGTTTATATACTAATAATAATCTTTTTTTTTTCAGAATCAAGATATTATCCTTTTTCATAGTAATTGTAAATCTTCTTCTATCAATCGGATCCTCATCTAGGATCAATCGAACGGTTGCAACTGTAAAATTTCTATCAAAACAAAATTCATATGTCACTTCTTTTCTTCATACAAAAGATGAAAAACAATTTTGAAAAGCTTTACATCAAAACATAGAAGGTCGAATAACCACTATGTTGTAGTCTCTCTGACGAGTCTTTAAGGGTTCTTTTCCATGCACTATTTTCCAAGTATATGAACAAAATATCAGTTTGATTGGCGAGTTACATTTTCTCGGAATTTAATTTTAAGAAAAACAAATCAAGTTTACAAAGTACGAACTAATGTTGAATGGAAATATTTACAAAAAGTTATTCTCGTCAAGATCTATTTCTATGCATAGCTGCAAGTTTAAATTCAAAAATCAGTTTTTCTAAGGGTCGTCACGACATTTATATAATAGGATTGCAAAACGGCATTTGAATAAATAATGATATTTTATTATTTGCAAAATATTCATTCGTTTTTTTTTTTTCTTTCATTTTCTATTAGATAAAAGGTATAATTACTGAATTAAATGACTTATTAAATCAAATTCAATTAGATCATTTCAAACGTATTGAAAATAAAGTTGATGAACCATTTATAATTAATATATCAAAATTTAATAATAATTATAATAATAATATCATCGATAAATCTACTAAAGAATTAAATGGTGAATTTCTTTATTCACAATTATTGATGGATTGTCTTTTACGAATGAAATCAAATTTAACTGATAAAAATGAATTTATAAATTTATGTAAAAAATTCTATGAAAATAATTCAAAAGAATTAAATCTTATTAAAGAATTTGAAAAAAATTATTCATCAAATCAAGTATTATGGTGGTATACAAGAGATTCATTTATTTATCGTTTATTAAATAAAGCATTACGTATACAAAATATTGATTTATTATATCTTTTTCGTTTTATTATTTATGATATTGAAAAACAATTAAAATTATATCAATGTTCATCATCAATACGTGTTTATCGTGGACAATTAATGTCAATAGATGAATTAAATCAATTAAAAAATTCAATTGGTGAATATATATCAATAAATTCATTTTTATCTACAAGTCTTAATCGACAACAAGCAATAAAATTTTTAAATGAATATAATTTTTCACATAATTTACAAAAAATTTTATTTGAAATTGATGCTAATCCATATATAAATAATTTAAAATCATTTGCAAATATATCATCAAAAAGTTTTTATTCAAATGAACAAGAAATTTTATTTATGTTTGGTTCAATATTTCGTTTAATAAATATAAAACAAGATAATAATGGAATTTGGATAATTCAAATGATTTTATCAAATCATAATAATGAAAATCTTAAAATATTATATGATAATATTAAAAATGAATATATAGATATTAATAATGAAATAAGTCTTCTTTCATTTGGAAATATTTTATATCAAATGGGAAAATATGATTTAGCAGAAAAATATTTTCAACGATTACTTAAAGATTTATCAAATAATCATGATGATATTTCAAAATGTTATTATTCACTTGGAGTATTAGCTTTAATTAAAGATAATTATGATTTAAGTTTAAATTACCATGAAAAATCATTAAAACTTTTAAAACCGAATGATTCACGTTTAGCTGATAGTTATCATTGTATTGCTTGTATTTATCAAAAAAAAGAATATTTTAAAAATGCTTTAGAATATTATAATAAAGCTTTAAATATATGGTATAATAAATTTGGAGAAGATTATTATCAAATAGCGGATTGTTTAAGTAATATGGGTTGTCTTTATGAAAAAGAAGAAAATTATTCTAAAGCTTTAGAATATCATCAAAAAGCTTTAAAAATTCGTAAAAAATTATTACCAAAAGATCATTCTGATTTTGGTGCATCATATAATAATATTGGAAATATATATCTTTATCTTCATGAATATGATTTAGCATTAGAAAATTATGAATATTCATTAAAAATAAAAATAAAATCTCTTCCAATTCAACATTCATCAATAGCAACAACATTAGAAAATATTGGACTTGTTTATGAAGAAAAAAAATCATTTGAAAAATCTTTAGAATATTATAAAAAAGCAGCTAATATTTTTCGAGAAACATTTTCATCTAATCATACTAATATGATTGATATTGAACAAAGTATTAAACGTATTTCATCGATATTAGAATCTCAAATATTAACAACATATTTTTAAATATAGAATTTCGTAATAACTATTTTATTTGTTTTTTAATGAATCATATTATTGCATCAGACTACGTCTTGCTTTTTTCAATATATATATATTTGTACTGTAATTTCGATAATAGCAAAATAATAATAATTACTTTTATTGTTTTATTTTCATCATGTATAGTAAAATTGAAGATTTATCTATTGAACTTTGGTTAGAAATATTTACTTATTTAAAAATTCGTCATCAATTTAATGCTTTTTTTAATTTAAATAAAAGATTTAATCAAATTCTATTATCTTATCAAAATCATTTCACTTTGAAAAATAATAATGAAGATACTCAATATTTATTAAAATATGTTATACCATATTTAACACATCGTAACAATGTTAGTGGTTTACGATTAGAAAAAACAAATAAAGTAAGTATGATTATCAGACAAAAAAAAAGCAAAACTAGTAAAATCTATTATCCATTTCGGACTGTATTTTTTTACTGAAATGGACACTCCACGTTAGAATTCATTAGATTCAAAATTGTCGAATTGCATTCTGATATTTGCCAGGAAATTTTCTAAACCGAAATTGAATAGCGGCTCAAAAGATACAAAATAATTTTCTCCGGTATTTGAATTCAGTAATTAGCACATCGTAAACACTTTTCAGGCCTATCGAATTCGACAGGACCTATTCTATGATAACTTTGATTTTTTTCAAAAATTTAGATTGATCTTATTTATAATACCAAATTATTATATTTTCCTTGTCTTACTACACTTTTTATTCATCGTTTACATATTACAAATGATTTTCTTAATTTATTTCAACAAAATTCTATTCATCTTCGATATTTAAATATAAGTTCAATTGTATCTGGTAATAAAATATTGTTATATCAATTACTTGAAAAAATTCTATTACTATCAAATTTACAAATATGTCATCTACGTTTAGGAATAAGTATGTCTTCAAATCAATTACAAATTTCATCAAAAAGTTCAATTAAAAATTTAAAATTAATTGGAACATATGAAAATTTATTTATCGATAGACTTACTAATTTATTACAATATTTACCATATTTACAATCTTTACATATAATAACTAATCAAATAAATTTTTCGTCAACAAAAAATATATGTTGTCTAGTTCCAATATCTAATTTTACATTAAATATTAGTGAATTTAATATTTCTTTTGTACAATTAACAAATTTTATATTATGTGTAACACCAAATGTACAAGAATTTAAAATAATATGTCGTAATTCGATTCAAAATATAAACTATTTAAATTATCAAGAATGGAAGATATTTATTCAATCATTATCATATTTGAAAAAATTAACTCTTGATATTCATCGTAGTAATAATATTGATGAACAAATATGGAATAAGAAATGTGAAATTTTAAATAATTTAATGATTAAAAATCATATTATTTTACATATTGGCAAATAATTAAATTAATTTTATTTTCTACAAAATAATCGATTATACTTGTTGGAATTTATTGATTTCTATTATTATTGTAAGATAAAAAGAATCAAATCAATTAATAATAATAATATTCATTTCAAAAGAATAATCAACACAAAATTCACAAAAAAAAAGAAACTTTTTTTAATTGAAATTTGAACTGACAAAAGTTTTAATTTTATGAATTACTTCTCTTTTAAAATACATTATTAATAACAAATAGTTTTTAATAAATGTTAATTTCTATCATTTTCGAGATTTTTTTCTTGAAAAAAAGATTTGCATTGAATAGGCGAAAATAAAAAAAAAACTAACCATTTTTCCTGCGATTAACTTCTTGTATTACAAGTGATTATATTTGTTCTGTTTTTGATATAGCATTGTAACATTATATCATCAAGACTTTGTCCTTCTCTTATGTCTTTTACAAAGAACAAAATGTTTAATGTGAAAATAAACGAAAGATTTTATTCAGGCAAATTCTTCATGAAACTGCAAAATATGTAGAATAGTTCGTTCTTTTATTCATAACATCAATTGACAAAAATCAATATTGTTAAAAAGAAATATGTCAAAACGTTTTATACGACATCTAAAATTTTTATTTTAGAAATAAATTTTCATACGAAATAAAGTAAAGAATTAATAAAGTTATCTAAAATTAACTTCATGAATTAATACAAAAAAAAAAATTCATAATTTAATTCAATCTAGCTAATAAATAAATTAAATGACAATTAATACGTTTGACATATTCTTTTTTAAGGTCTGTTGCCAGGTGACACATAAATAAAATGTCTTTGATTGATTTCCTTTTTTCATTCATCATATTATTTTAGTATTGTAATAAAAATATGTCTACACATATATCTATGTCACAATCGAATGAATACTTAGAAAAAAATATAAAAAATCTTCAATTAAAATTTAATCAAATTTTAACATCCGGTTGTCATTATTATACACAAGAAATAGAAAATTATATAAAACATATTAATAATGCTTTGGATAATATTAAACTTGATCATGAATTTCAACGTGGATCAAAAAATTGGGCAAAACAATTTGATTCAAATGAAATTAAATTAAATGAAAAAAGTAAAAACAAAAAAAATTCGTATATTCAAATCACATGAAATTTTCAGCCTTATATCAGGACCAGTGACGTATCCAGGATTTTTCAGTATGCTGAATCTCGATTTCCGAGCACGAGACCCAGATGAAACTCATGGAGGGTGATGTTGGATCCAAATAATGAAATTTTATCAAAAAAAATTTTCACTCGGAGTTTGCGAAAAAAATTAGCATTTTCCTGATCCCCCCTCGAGGATTTTTTGCTGTTAGTAGTATCATGTTTTTTAGAATTTCATAAGAAGCTACACCGAATTTCATCGATAGATTTCAAATGTCGTTTAAAAATATGCAACCGTTCAAGAGTTATAACTTTTTGAGTTTTCGCTACATGTGAAAACAATTTTTGCAAAATTTCAAATCGTCATAACTCTTGAACGGTTGCATATTTTCAGACGAAATTTGAAATCTATCGATGAAATTCGGTGTAGCTTCCTATGAAATTCTAAAAACCATGATACTACTAACAGCAAAAAATCCTCGAGGGGGGGATCAGGAAAATGCTAATTTTTTTCGCAACCTCCAAGTGTAAATTTTTTTTTGATAAAATTCCATTATTTGGATCCAACATCACCCTCCATGAGTTTCATCTGGGTCCCGTGCCCGGAAATTGAGATTCAGCATACTGAAAAATCCTGGATACGTCACTGATCAGGACGTTTTCAGAAGATATTCAACAACAAAAAAAAAAAGAATAAAAGTATTCTTTTATATAATCTTTATAAAACTTAATATAGAAACTTTGAGGTTGCAAGATTGAGAAAAATGAAAAAGATTCTTCCTCTTTTGTTTTTCTTAGATATTGAACAATTAATTGCACAAGGACATAATCTAACTCAAGAACTTAATACTTGTCTTCATACAACTACTGTTAAAAATAAAGAAGAAAATCAAATACGAGAATTAAATAGTTGGACATGTAATACATTAATTGATTATCTTCAAGTAATATTTTTATTCTATTTATTAAAAAAAAAATTAAAATTTTGATTTTGATTTTTTTTAGGCACTTCAACCATATGCATCAGGTTCTTATGCTCGATTAGATAATATTGCTCATCATCTTGGTGTTACTGATCGTTATATTGGTTATCGACATAATTTAACACGTAGTGGAAATCAACCATTAAATGTTCATACTGTATGGGCTGATCGAAAATTACCTCGTTCAAAAACATTTAATCAACAATCATCAACACCAGATTGGAAAGCTTGGGTTCATGCATATCGACGTATTTAAAAAAATTATTTCTTATGAGTATCATATTTTTTTTTTTTTGATATTTAGATTATGGTCCATCAGCAGCAGCCGCAGCAGCAACAACAACCACAACAACAACATCGAATAATAATCAAAAACTTCTTGGTTATTTACAAACAACAGGTTTCTTCTATAAATAAGAAATAATGTTTATTTATTTTTTGTTATTCTTTTTGAATAGAATCAAATCCGTCAAATACAAAATCAAATTTTTATTCTCAATCATTTATATATAATAATAATGATTATAATAATGAAATACGTAAAGCAGGTATTAATTTAACATTTCCAGGTGAAACTGAATTTATGGATCGATATAAAAAACCTGAAGAATTACCTTATTCTTCATTTACAATTAATCCTCAACCGGATTATACATTACCTGGTCGACCATTAGCTCGTGTTATACCTGATTCATTTAATAGTGAATATACACGCAGGTATATGTAATTGTTAATTTTTTTTTGTATTTTTAATATATTTTTTGTTTTTGTAGTTATGTATTTCCTGATTCATCAAAAATTGAAAAATTTCCATGGTTACGTTCATCATAAATCGAACAATTATCATTCATATCCTTCCCTTTTTCTTTAACATATATATATATATATCTATACCTTTTAGAGAAAAAAAACAAAACATTAAACACCTTTATTTTTCAAATAAAACAGTAAATCGATCAAGTTTTAGTAAATTACGTTGAGAATCAAGTGCCCATACTTGACTATCATCGATTGATACTAAAAGAAAAAAAAAAAGATTATTCATAGTTATTTTTTTTTTGTTATATATACCTGTAAGTGAAAGAAAACGACCAGGTAATGTTGTTGATCGTGTTCCAATTGGATTTGTTACAGAAATATTTTCACGACATTGAATTTGTCCACAACTTGTTAATAACCATAATGTATGTTCACTTATAGCTAATTCAAGAGCTGAACAATCTATTAAAAAAAAGAAATGATAAAGATTTATTCATATCGAATAATAATAATTTACCATCAAAAGCTTTCCATGATGTTCCAATACGATTTTCTTCATTAATACCAATTCGAGCATAAACAGTTTGTTTATTATCTGTTGCATAGATCTACGAATAGATAATAAAAATGTTTACAAAACTTTTTAGTTCCTGAAATATTTAGAAACACTAGTCATAAAATTCAAGAAAAAAAAACCCGAAAAAGAATATCTTTAATCTTCCTGACGGTAATTTACGAGCGCATTTATCAATGTGATATCATATAGGTATGCATATTCATGTTATCTACTTTCCACACATCACACTAATGAATAATGCATCGAAAACTAAACATTGAAATACTCTATTATTTGAATGATTCCATGTTATGAAAGAAATCATGAAGAATTTTACTAACATAAACTTTTTTTTAGCCGTAAAAGATATTGCAGCGATTTGTTCTATTAAAAAAAGTCCTACAACTTAAATAGGAATACGTATGAAGATTGATGAGTTAACTAAATATACAACCATGGAAATAAAATGCACGTACTTAGTAATAAATAATAAAATTTAAATGCTACAGATTTGCTCTAAAGAAAAGAAAAAAACTACGACTTCAGTACTTCATCGTACTTTTTTTCTCTCGTCACAATGCTATAATTTGCATTTCGACAATCGAAGCTATTCGCAATATTCTAAGATGATATCAGCACTTGATATATGATAAATATTCAGAAAGAGTGAACGTACGAAATGATATTCATTAACGACATTCAACACGATTCGATTTTATTAGAAAGTAGCTCTACAGATTCATCTTTCGATAAATACACTCTTTGATCTTTTCATTCTGCGTTGATCTGCTGTTTTCTCTTTTCTGCATGGTATGCCATTCGAGAAGCTGAATCAGCACTCCATTTCAAGCGCGAATTTACTGATCGCAAGTTCAAAGAAAAGGAAAGACCTATGCGCGCAATGTCGGCAGACGCTGTACTGGCTGCTATGCGAAGAGAAGGACACAACAATCAAGAGAAACGACCTATGCGGCAGCAAAGAAAGTAAAAATCTTCTGTTCTGACTGTGATAAATTTTTTTTTTTGTCTTGATTATGTTAACAAGAAGAAGAACACAATCTTTAAATTACCATCCAATCATCTGGTCCACAATATATTTGTGAAAAACTTCGATATTTTATTGGTTCACCAGGTATAGGAATCCAAGCAGGAGGTAATAATGACCATTCATTTAAATATACATCGTCACTAGCAGTACTATGACCATGACGAAAATGAATATATCCATGATCATCAACTGCCCAAACACCAGCAATATTACATACAATATGAACTAATCTTCGATTCCATTCTAAAAAATAAATATAAACGAAAAAAAAAATTCTTCTATTGAAAAAATTTTTTATCTATTCTTACCAAATTGACTTTGATCTAATTGTTCCCATTTTGTATTTATTTCAACATTAGTTCGTATATAAATATTACATGATTCATCAAGTGACCAAAGAATCGTACCTAATCGAATCAATATAATGTTATTAGAAAAAAAAAAAAAAAAGATAATGAATTATTTACCAAGAGAAGAATTATCTGGAACAAATGTTGCATGTGTTAAATATTGAGCTTGACGTGGATTTTCAAGTATTTGACCATTTGATGTACAAATAATTTTGTCTGTTGTTAATGCCCAAACAAAATCTATCGAAGATATAAAATAGAGAAAATTTAAAAAAAAAGAAATCAATACAAACTTTCATTTGTAAATGCTCCAATTAAACGTTGTAAACGAGTATTTTTTTCAATTAATTTCCATTGAATACCTGAATAAAAATTATCATTTTTTTTTTGTTTTTTAAAAACTAATTTATATATAATAATTTACCTGTTAAAGAATCTGAAAAAATATGAATTTGTTCTTCACAATTAGTAAAACATAATAATTGTGAATTAACACAAATTAAATATCGTTGATAAAACATTTTAAAATCATCATTACATAAAATTTCATAAAATCCTTTATCAGATGACCATTGATGTAACCATAAACGATGTTTTTTATCCATAATACATATAATATTATTATTTGTTAATAATATAAAATCATCAATCGGACCAAAACTAAAATATTTTTCAAAATTAAAATTTCTTTTTTTTTTTTCTTCGTACTTATGTTCAATAAAAATCCATCCATCACCTTCAACACAATCATCTGTACATCCAACACGAACTAATATTTCTCCATCATTTGTTGTAACAGCAACTTTTTCCGAAAAACAAAAAACTTTATTTAAATTAAATGGACATGTTACATTTATTAATTGATATGAATTATTAACTATTCGTATTAACCATAATGATCCATCATCTTTAACATACCTTTAAATAAGAAAATATAAATATTCTTCAAAAGGAAATTCAAATTGAATAATAATAATTAAAAAAAATGTCAGTAGTATAATACGCGTTTCTACTTATAGTTGTTTACATACCATCCACATTGATCATTAATTGAGATACTTAATAATATTTGTCCATTGCCAATTTTAATTTCATTCCAATGAGAACCAATTGGAGAAAATTTAATTGGATCAATCGATGTATAGAGACGTTTATTAAATAGACGCCATACAGTTCGATTACTAAGACTAACAATAATTCGTTCGGCTAGATCAGAATGTTGTATCCATTGAAGAGGTATATTCATATTATCAATATTTAATTTAGCATAGAATATTTTTCGTTCAGTCGTACATATATATATATAAGTTGATGAACAACTTATATGATAAATTTTTGTTTTTGGTGGAATTGAATAACAATTTACAATAGAAAATCGTTTTTTTTCAATAGGATTTGATTCAATTGATATTGAAGAAGTATATTTATTTATTTCATCACTGAATGAATCATTAATTGTTGAATCATTATTTACTGGAGATTCATTCGGGATTGGTATTAAAGTATCTTGTATACTGTTTGACATATCCAATTTTTCAGAAATATTGTTGATATCTTCGGTTAATATCTTAGTATCTTGTTTTAGTGATAATGATTCATCTGTATCTGTATCTGTATCTTCTTGAATTTTTGATATAAAGTCACGTAATTCAGTTAACTTTGTTGATTTTTCTGAAGGTTTTTCAAATGATCGATTTGTTGAAATATTTGATATTTTGAATTCTTCAAATGAGTCTTCAAGTTCATTTGAAGATATTTTTGTAAGAATTTCTGATGTAATCAAATGATTTTCATTTGAATCAGAATTATCATTTAGTAACTCAGTAACATTCGTCATCATTGGTAAATCATCATGTATTATATCATTAGAAATGCTTTCTTGATCAGAATTTACAATGATTGTATCATCAATATTGATCACTGATGTCAATTCATCAATGAATATATTCGTTTGAATATTTTCCTCATATGACTCAGTTTTAACTGATAGAGATTCGACTTTTTCTCGAACGATATTATCTTCAAAATCATTATTAATTGATTCTTGTTCTAATATCGAATCTTTTTTCTGTGTTATTGTAATGAGTGTAGTCTCTTCAACTAATTCATCGATAATTGTTATTATATCGATTAATTCATTTAGACATTGTTCAATAATTTCTTGATTAACTATGTCATTGATTATATTATTAAGACAATTTTTATATTCTTTACAATCATTTTTTTGTTGAATAGAATTGTTCTTCTGTTCATTACTAGAATCAGTTTCATGCTCTAATGAAATAGCTGAAATTGATAAAAAACCTTGAAATAATAAATAGATGAAAATTTATTGAAATTCTTATTAAAATTTTTACCATTCTTTCTTGCTTGACGTCGTCTTCCTTTTGTATGTGGAATTGTAGGAGGCTCAATAATTGGAGTTGATGCTTGTGTACTTAAAGATGTTGTTGGAATAACTGACGGAACTAAAAAAGAACCAATTATATAGTGAATAATTGGAAAGTTTGTCGACAAGATGTTTGTTCCTTTTTTGTTTTGATCTATTGAATCCAGTCTCGATTTAAAAGCGATTGGACAATTAGATTAATTCTCTTGTAAAAAAAAAAAATTTCTTAGCTTTTCAACTTGTAGAAAATATTTTCTAGCAGATTAAAAATTGTCTGATGTTCTGTTGTATTCATCAAATGAAAAACAAAAAGAACTAACCAGTAGAAGATGGTTTTGTAATAGTAACAATTTCACCATCGGGATTTTCAGTTGATGATCGCCACACTTGTTTTTCTTGAACTACTGACTCAGATGCTTCTGCTTTCAAACGTTGTCTTCATAGAAATATCGGGGAAAAAAAAAGAAGATAAAAATTCTAATAAAAATTTATATTAATACCTTTCAAGATCTTCTTGAGCTTCTTTAAGTTTTTTATCAAGTGTTTCTGTAAGTTTTTCAATACGAGTTTTAGCTGTTTCTTGTATTGATTTAGCTTGAGATTTAAGTTTTCCAAACCATTCAGTAGGTGATGTCATTATTTCAAAGCAAAATTTCGTTTTCTTTCTTTTTTTCTCTTTTTTTTTGTTATTAAATAAATATCAGTCGGACACAATAAAAGATTTTTGACTCACCAAATTATTTATCACTATCTTTATGCATTAGGCATTTTTTCTTGTTCCTTTTTACATAAATGATAATAAATAATAAAAGAAAACAAAAGATGACGATAAAGAAAAGATGATAAGACTATCCGTTTTTTATGTTATTTTTCTTCATCGACTAGAGAAGAATAAATACAAAAAAAGAACAAAGTCAACTAATGTAACAAAAAAAAAAATTTTTTTTTTAAAAAAAGTACGATTAAAATTTTATGATGGAATAAATGTTTTCATTCGTGTTATATCTAATGATAATTCTGGTAATGATGTTGATACACAACGATCAATTTTTCGTGTATCATTTAATATTGATGATGGTTTTGATGTTACGGCAAGTCGAAATGATGTTGATTGTGTAACTTTATGTGGAACAGATGTTGCCCATGTTATTTTAGGATCAGGATCTATAGCAAGTGTAGGAACAATAACAGAAGCTGTTATTCGTGTTTGAATTTGTCGTTGATTTGAATTTAATAAATTTGTTTGAGATCGATGAACTTGACGTGTTTTAATTGTTCCTATCGAACGTGATTGAACACCTTTGGCTAATCCGGGTAATGATCGAGCAGTAGATAAATTATGTGGCTAACAAAAAAAAGAAAAAGAAAATTTAAAAACAAAAAAAAAGTAATTAAAAATTAAATTTTACTTTTAATTGTAATGTATGAACAGTTGTCATATCAACATTTCGATTTGATACATTATCTTAATTGAAGATATAAAAAATAAAATTATTTTGAAAAATTAATTATTTTACTTTCTTTAGATAAACGTTGTTCAGATTTTGATGATATTTTTGAAGTAATACTATTTGTTCCTGAAAGTTGAACTGAATCAAATGTTTCTATACGTTTTAATTTAGATAAATTTTGATTTGATGATGGTGTTTCATAAAGTGAATGACGATGTGTATTATTAACTAAATATAATAAGAATAAAAACGATATATTTAACTTTTTTTTTTGTAAATAAAATTTTTGTTTAATACAAACATTCATCTTTTAATGTACGAACTTTTGCTGGTCGACTACGAAATCGACCTTCATTTGTAATAACAATAACTTCCATTATATATTCTGTATCTGGTTTTAGCATTGCTGCATGATATTCTTGATCTGTACCTGAATAAATACATCGTTTATTACATAAAAGTTCATAACGACTAAAACGGCCAGATAAAACTTCTGGTGGTTGCCATTTAATATGTATTTCACGTCGACCTATTATTGAAAATGTAGGTGGTGCTGGATATGAATCACCTTAAATAAAATAATAACATTTAAAAACAAAAAAAAAATTTTTTTTTGGAAAAATTCAATTTTAAATTTTACCTGCAGAAGCAGTAATTAAATTTATTGTTGCACGTGGTCCTTTGCCCTTATTACTTATAACACATACATCAATTTGATAAGTTGTACTAGCTGTTAATGAACTAATTGTTATTCCACATTCAGTTGTACATTCATATTCAGTATTATCTAAATATTTGAATTATTATAGAGTTCTATCGAGAGAATTGTGGGTTCACGTATTTTTGGACTCAGATCCGGATCTGAGTCTGTTTTTCGCGAATATCGAGAATTAGATAGCTGCGGATTCACTTTGTTCTGAGTCAGGGTCTGAACGGACCTGCAGCTTTCTACTTCTATTCATCTCGAAAATTGATCTTCAACTAGGTATATTTAAGTCACATGAAATTTTCAGAATAAGGCTTATTTAACAAAACTAGTCGTTCGGATTAGAACTCAGCTTACATATTCAGAAAATGTACTTGATTTGTGTATCTAACAGGTTAATCGTGACAGATATCAATTTTCTTAGTGACACCACAACTTTCAAGCTAAATTTTTGGACGATTTGAGAGTTATAATAAAGTTATTTATAAATATAGGGCAATCAAAAAGTTCTGAGAATTTTAAAAAGAAATATGTTGGATTTGGTGACCTATTCAGAATAAAAACAAAACATGCCATATTGTAGAGCAAGTCGAGATGCGTCAAATGATATATAACAAATCTTGTTTTCATAAGATTTTGAGGGAACAAGACTGGATGTACTGGTAGGCAACCATCGAATGAAAGCACTGACGACCATTGTGGAGTCGAAAAGGTTTGTAAAAATAATTTTCCTATATACAGTTTTGTAGCGCTTTTCACGGGCTACAAGTTCATATACTCAGCCTCCCAATTGTCCTCTTTTTGATAGAGAAAAATGCGACTTTTCGATGATCTACCATCGTTTTCCACGAGTAATGGCTGTTGGTGAGTCTTTGAATCCATGGGCGTCTACCAGTAAATCTAGTCTGGTTCTCTCAAAATCTTATGAAAACAAGATTTGTGATATACCATTCGACGTGCCTTGGCTTTCTCTACAACATGGTATGTTTGGTTTTTTAATTCTGTATAGATTATTAAACCCGACATCTTGTCTATATGATTTACAAGATAATTTTCTGAATATTTAACTATAATCTTTTTTTTTCTCGTAGTGTTGATCTCCTACACATCATTAAAACTGAAAAATAACTCATTTTGACAGCTCAAGGTTGCTTATATTCTTGTTTTTTTTTGTATGCGAAGAAAAAAATATGACAAATTCAATGTCACAAAAAATAAATTGTCATTTGTTTTTCTTTTATATAAATAATAACAAATCTTCACTCCAAAAAAAAAAAATTTGAGCTATGTCAAGAACTACAACTTCACATCTTCTATAGAAGAAAAAAAAACAACACAATTCACTACATATCAAACTCCTTTAAGAATTTTACGTATTATGACCGTGAAAAAGAAAAATTGTTATTCTTTTAGAGTATAAAAATCTTGACAAAAAAAAAATAATCAAGTTTCAGAGTATCTGAACATACATTTATTTCTAATAAAACTTGACTGTTTTTTTTTGAAGAAGATCTTAAAAAAAATATATTTTTATTTCTTACCTAAATAAACTTGATAGCCTTTAAATGAATTACATTCACTAAGATCTGGTGATTCCCAAGTAATACGAGCTGCTGTCATTGATCTACGTACAATATGAAGATTATTAACAGGTGGTGGTACTAAATATTAAATAGATTCATAAATTTAAAATTGTTTTTTAATCTTCTTACATTCTTCATCTGTACGAAATATAGTTGGATCACTAAGAATACTATCACCATGAGATGTTACATATTGAATTTGTACACTATAATTTGTATTTGCTTTTAAATTTTTTAAACAATAATTTGTATTATTTGTTACAGCAATTGGTATGTCATCTTTCAAAAAGAAAAAGCATATGACGTTATTCATAAAGATCAATTGAAATCGAACATTTCTATAAAATTTTAACAATAATACTCATTGAATATGAACAAATTTGTAACGAATTAAAAGTGATCTATCTTTATATTTTCTTGTGTGATAATAAGTCATTGCATCAAAAATTTTTTCTATTAAAAAAAAATCTTACCAAGAATAATTCGATATTGAAATTCATTGTTATCCCAATTATCTATACATAAATCCCAAGATATATCAGTAGAATTATTTCGACATTCTAAAAATAAAAAATAAAAATAAAAATAAAAATATATTTTTGTAATATAAATTACCGTCAATATTTGGTTGATTAGGTTTCATATTTCTATGTATCATATACCAAAGTAATTTAGCTTCATCTTGAACATCTTTACGTGTAATCCATTTATCTCGTATTTGTTTTAATTTTTCTGGTAATTTTTTTGAATAACATAAATGATCATTAGCTCCATCATATTGCGCAATTGTTCTAAGACACCTTTTAAGAGAATAAAAGTTTTTTACAATGAAAAAAAATAAGTTTTTCAAATTTACATTAAAGCAAACCAAACATTTTCATGTTCATTCGATGAAAGTATTGATTCAATAGAAAAAAGTATTCGATGAAAAACTGTTAAATATTGTAAACATAATTGAAAACCATAATGAGTTGTACATAAACAACTTAATGCATAACAAGCATTTTTATTTACACCTTTTTCTTCATTAACTTCAAGCATATGTAATAATGAATCAAGCTTTTGTTTTTTTGAAAACAAACAAATATCAAATTTAAATTTTTCAAATTAAATTAAACATACAATTTTATATTGTCCACAAACTGAAATTAATATTTTTTTTCCTTCATCTTTTTCAATTAAACGTCCAATAGCAAAAGCAGCATTTGTTGAACGACTTGGATCACTAATATCAAGTGCTAACATAAGTTCATTTAAAATTTCTCGATGTTTCAAATGTGTCAATATTGTTTGACAACCAAGTTCTTCAACCGTAATTCTACACTCAATAAAAAAAAAAGAAATTTTATTATATTTGCACAATGACTTATATTACCTAGCAAGTACTAATGCAACATTACTAGCTATCCATGGATTAGAAGAAGATAATAATGATGATGTATTTGTAATCATTTGTGCAATACAAGCATGATTTAATATTAAATCACGTCCTTCTTTTGAACTACACTTAAAAATAAAATATAAATGAAACAGAAAAATATTAATCTATTTTTACTATGATAAATGAAAAAAAAATAAGAGAAAAAAAAACCTGTGACAGTTTTATTTCATCCATTGGAAAAAATTTTTTTTTTTTATATATCATTAACCCTTTGATGGGCGATGGGACATATATGTCCTACTTTTGTTTTCGAATTGCATAACTATAATAAACTAGAATCAATGACTTTGGTAGAAAGAACGATGACACTGCAGTGACTTCGTTGCTTATTTTGTATAGTATGTAGTTGTTGCACCATCCATTTAATACAAAACAAGGAGTATGAACGTGGATGTGAATCTTTTATTCATAACCTCGTGCACGATGATCTAGATCACAATCTATTTGACAGCATCATTGACAGAAGTTAGCTATCCAAAATTCGCCCGTCAAAGGATTAAATTAAATCTGTCACAGATTTAGAGTGTGAAACCTACATACTATAGTACCGAGTGTACCAGCAGCATTTAAAACACATTCTGAATCAGAATGTTTTAATAAATGACATAATACTCGTATAATATCAACTGTATTTGATGTACGATCAGTAGAAAATACAGTTAAAAATTGTTTTAAACCTGCTTCTAATTCTACTGCACTACCCAATATATAAGCACTATTACCACAGACACTAATATAAATTTCAAAAGATAAAATAACATAAATATTTAAGAATTGATAATATATTGAAGAATTATTCTTACCGATCATCGTTGCTAAGTAACAATTGTGCAATAGAACGTAATATATCATTAGCAGTTTTTTCATTAAGAAGTCGTTCAATAGTTTTATCACGATCATGTCTTAAATCATTAACACAATATTCAAGTGCATGACGAATATTTCTACTTATAGGATTAATTATTAAATTTAATTTATCATCTCCATTTATTATATCCAAATTATCTTCATTAGGTACAAAACGAATAAAATAATTTTTTGTTTCGAAATAAAATTTATTATTATTATTATCTATGTTCATCATTTGTATCTATATATATATTCAAATAATGAAAATTCTTGTTGATTTTTACTGTTTGCGTTAATGTGTTCTTATTCTTACTTTCGTCTTATCAGCAACCTAAGTAAAACATCTATGAAGGAGAGATGGAAGAAAAGTAAAGAAAAAATATATGAAGAATCGTAACAATTGTTCTGTATATATGTGTCCGTGTGAACATGTTTCATATAGAGGAGTGTATTTATTTGAAGAAAGACAAAGAATAAAAATAGGAACATGAAAAAAAAAAAGAAGTAAACGAAGAAGACGAAGAAAACAAAAAAAAACTGAAAATAAAATATGAAAGACATAGGTGGTCAAATATTTGCTGTTGTTAAGTGGTTTTCATTTTTATTATTAACAAAATTAAATAATTTATTAATCAAACGAACTTCGTTCATAACATACTTGATCTATAGCTTGATTAATAATTAAGTCATCTAAACCAATTTCACATAAATTAACCATAATATATAATTTATTGAGAACAAATTCATTCTAAACAACAAAAAAAAAAAGTAAAAATGAAATTAAATATTATTGACAAACTTGAAGATCAAAACATTTTTCTTGAATATATTGTGTAACAGATATATAACAATCGTGTTCAGTAAGTTTCAGACGTTTTTCTATGACCGTTTCTAAATAATCACCACGATTCATTGATACTGCTATTGATGCTATTTTTTGCATATTATTTGTAATTATAGCTCGCTCCTAAATAACAAAAAATTAACACATATACAAATTTACTTATATTGATAATAAAAATAGAATCATTAGATCTAGATATTTGAGTTAGAGATCCATAAGATAAGCTTTTTGTATCGAAAGAGGAAAGCTACAGCCTTCAAAGTCGAGTAGGAAAATCCACACATCTCTAATTTAAATCACTATGTTGCTCAAAACCTTCCCATAAAAGATACTCTGTGTAAACCTTAGTACTACTAGTAATGGCATGATCTTCAACAAGTCGCTAACGACTGTTTGTCTCGGATCATTAATTCGATAGTATGCTAAGTATGTTATGCTATATGCATGTTCTTGGTGATGACTTAGTGTGCTTAGGCTAATGAATCTTCTGATATGCCGTACTCCATAATAAAACGTAGTTTATTTTCTTTATTAATAATAAAAATTTTTTGATACAAACATGAATTAATTGAGCCAATTGATGTTCTAAATTTTCTTTATCAATTGAATTTTCTTCAATATTAGCTAAACGACGAGCTATAATAGAAAGACGAACACTTTCACTCGGTACAACATCATACTAAAATAATAAATTCATATTCATAATACATTATACGTATTTATCAATCATACTTGAAATATATTATTATCATAATTTTGAATAAAATTATGTTGAAAATTTTCTGTACTTTGAAATTCACTAACATTATGAGTTTTACCTAAAATCTATAAAAAAAAAGAAAAAAACTAAAATAAAAAAAATGATTTACTTATTAATTATCTTACAAGATCACCATATTGCATAACATGACTTGTATTTGTTTTTCTTTTTGCTATTAAATATTGTTGATATAAAGATTCTTGATTAATTTTTTCAACATCAGAATCTTCCATCCAAACAACTGAATAAAGATCGCCTAAATATGTTTGACGTTTTTCATCAAAATAACAAGCATATGATGATTCTTCAGCATTTGATGCTGTTGTTGCATATATATTTATATTATTTAAAAGAATATTTTCAAACATTGAACCTGATTCACATGCTTCAATATAGATGACCATCTTTTTAATTAAAAAAAAATTAAATTTTTTTGTTTTTTGAATAAAATTATTTCATTACTTGTTTATATTTTTTTTCATTATACATTTTTATGATTGTATCATTAAAATCTTTTGCATAGAGCTACAAAAGAAAAATAATAGTTTTACTTATTTTAAATAAAAAAAAATTCTATATTGACATACAACACCAGTTGGAAAAGCAACTAAACCTAACATGAGAAAAAAAAAATAATTAATTAATAAAAAGTAATAGAATTTACCAACAGCACCATGATCAGTAAAATAGATAAAAACATTATCATCGGGACCACTAAAATAGAATCGATAAAAAATTTTATTATTGAATTATTGAAATTGTTTTAGATTGAATAAAAATTGATAGTTTTTAATATCGTTATTTTTTTCCACTTCAATTTAAAGTGTTTTTTTATTTTCAAGTAGAAATATATATATATATATCAATTATAGCAACATTATTCAATAGCTATCGATTTTTTTTTTATTCAGAACAATTGTTTTTTTGTTTACAGCAAAAAAATAAAAGAATACCTATCATATAATTTTGTTTTTATTTGATAGATCGTTCATTAAAATAACAAATTTCTTACCTTTCTAAAACTTTACCACTACCGATATTTCGCATAGCTTCTTTATTTCCAAGTAAAATATTAATAAAATTTTTTGGTGTTACATTCTATTCAAACAAAAAAAAAAACGTTCGGTTTTTTAACTATTCAAAAAAATCATTATACTTTGCCGTTATAATCATGTGGTACACCATGATAAACATCGGCTCCATTAGGATGATTAATAATAATACCTTTTGTTGGATTTCTTAAAATCAAAAAAAAAAAACAAAAAAAATTCTATTCTATATCTATGCTCATCACATACTCTCGATTGTGAGCTAAATCATCATACATCATAACAATAATATTTGAGTCTGGTATACCATTTTTATGTAAAATTTGATAAGCATGACACAAATCAGCTTGATGACGATAATTATACCAACCATTCGAACCAGCAACAAGTACTGCCCAATTTGCTGCTGAATTATAATCAATTTCAAATAAAATAAGACTTACAATGAATAGAACAAATTGTTGTTTCATTGTAAAAAAATATTATCGTAATAGAATGAAAATCTGAAATTTAGACTCTAGTTGAATTTATTCGTTTAGTTCTGATCTCTGATATGACAAAAGATAATTTCGTCGTTGATAATATTACAATATTGATGAATAATTTTATTCAAAGAAGGAAAAAAGAAACCCACATGTATCTTGACGACACTCTCGTGCATATGAAGCTGATTCGAGCATGTGACTTGATGCACATGGAGTGATTGAAAGCAAATACTCATTGTAAAGTACAGAACAAAACAAAAATACGTAGATGTACATTAGTTGATCATCATTGTGAAAGTTTGATCGATATATAATAAAAATTTAAACTCATTTCTACTACACAAACTATACAATAAAATTATTTTCTTTTTTACTTATCAAAACCTTTATTTTATTATTTATATATATCAAGATTACTTTTGTTTTATATTCTTTATTTAAAGATTAAAATAGATTTGATTCTTATATCATTCAAATTAAAATAGTAAAGGAGAAAAAAAAAAAAGAAAAATATTAAATGTCAAATTATGTTCGTAATGGTTGTTTACGACCAACAACACGAATCAAACTTGTATTAGTTATACCATATCTTCGTAATTTTTCTTGTCGTTTTTCATGTAAATTTTGTCCTTTGAACATAATACGTTGAGAATCTATTGGAATATTTAATTGTTTTTCTATATGTTGTTGAAGTTCTTCAACACATGGATCATTGGAAGTCGTTGGTAAAACCATTTCATATATATCACCACCATGTTGGACTTGAAGTTTAAGAAAATGCATTTTTTTTGTCTTTTTATTCTAAAAAATAAAAAAACAATTAAAATATATTTTCAAAATGTTTTTACTAGCCTAGTCTATTTTCTTTAAATTACTTTTTTTGTTCTCGATTTCTTTTTCTTCTCTATCAAATGAAATTATTCTATGTTTCTGTTTACTTAAGAAAATAACATCTATCGTATCTAAAACCGTTTATTTGTTTGACACCAACAACATTTAAAAAAAAAAAAATAGAAGAAAAAAAAAAAGTGTCTTTTATTTTATTTACAAACTTGAGTTGAACATATATAACACAGAAACGAAGAATTAAAAAACCAACCCCGAAAAGATATATTTTTACGAAAAAACAACGAACGAAAAAAAAAAATAATATTTTATTTTATATTTATTCTAAAATACATAATCTCTTCTCTTTATTTCACATATATATATATATATAATTGAGCAAGAAAACAAAATGGTACTGTGAAAATATAAAAACAAGAAAAATTCATATGAATTATTATAGAACAAATGGTGGTGTTTGATCATCTAATTTTGTTTTAACACCAGATTGAACAATACGATCATATCGTTGTGTTTGTTGAAAATCAATATCTGCATATAGTTTAGTTGATGTTCGTTCATTATTTTCAAAATCTTGTTCTTCATATGCATCAATTTCATTTATAAGAATATCATCTGAATTATTTATTTGTTGTTGTTGTTGTTGTTGTTGTTCATTTATATCCGAATATTCATTTGTTATATGTGATGGTAAAAGTAAATCAGCATAATTCATAGATATATCGGATTGTGGTAATGAATTATTTGAATTAATAATTAATGTTGATTTCGATGAACTATCTTGTATTAATGGTTCAATTAATGCATATGGATCATTAGATGAAATTTTTTCTTCATCAATATGTGATAATTGTGAACGTGATATAGATGTTGTTAAATTAAATGATGATAAATGTGTTTGTATTGTATCATCATTTATATTTTGTGGTGGTCCAAGTAAATATGTTGTTATTTGATCATTAATATGATCATCAAATAAGAATATTGAATTATGTTGTGGTTTACGAATTTGATATGATGTTGTATCACCAATATTATTTGTTGAAAGAGATAATGTATGAAATATATGTGCATTTGATGATGATGATATAGTATCAATTGAATTAATCATTGAATTTTGTTGTTGAGATTGTGATATTGATTTAAGACTTAAATCTGAATTAAGACGATGATCAAGTGTTATACTATCGGATAATGGACTTGTTGCAAGATCAGTTTGATCATTATTATTATTATTATTAAATGTTACAATACCATAAGAGAGTAAAAGTGATTTATGAGAATTTGATACGGAATTTGTTTGATGTAGAGAACTAAAAATAAGAAAAAAAATTTTTTTTTTTGATAGAAGAAAAAAAAACAAACTTTGAACTATCTGGTGATGATGTTATTAAATCAGATGATGTTCCTAAAAGATAATATTGATTAGAATTATGAAATATAATACTAGATTAATTTAGCAGATTTTCAAATGATTATTTGAGTTGAAAAGAATCTTTCAATAAATAAAAATACCAATTTGGTGCAAGATACTCAGAAACATATACAAACTACAATCTTTGATTAAATTACCTAACCTTTCAATTAAAAAAAAAAGGACTAGGCTCTATCTTCATGTTAAAATATCATGAACTAATAATCACATACTTTATAAGTGGTAATCAAAATAATGTTTTTGCGAGGCAAAAATCTTGAAACAAAAATACGTATATAAACACAAATTTTCAGCATGTAAAATAGCCGAAATACGAGAAAGCTAGAAGACTTTTGTTCCCTACTGTAGAAAAAGCTGTTAGCGCAATCCCTTGCGGGATTAAAAATGTGAAACACGATGGATCTATTGTTACTAATTAAACGGAAATCCTTTTATTCCATTTCCTTACGACACATTTGTAGCTGATCGTATATCTGATGCTTTACAACTACAGTTTCTGTGTCACAGTCTGTGATGGGTACCCCGGGTTCTCTGTCACAGTCTGTGGGGAGGGGGGGGGGGGGG